CCAATGTTTGTTAATTGTTAGATTTCCATAATGCACTAATTAGGCTCTATAATATGAACTGCATTGGAATAAGACATAACAACATTTTATTACTATGCAAATCATGTAATACCAGTTAAGTGTAATTATTATCTGATTATAGATTCTATCTCAACAGGCACGTTCCATTTAACGCTGCGTAGCAAAGTAGCAGGAACGCCTACACAAGACATGTAATCGATTTTTATTGGAAGATAATACCAACAGGGCTACTTTTATACTCGTTTTCCTTGGGATGTCCTTCTGCAACGTATTAAAGAGGACGTTACCCTTTATTGCAAAGTTACAAATCTTTTATCTCGTTATTTTAATGCGCAACACAGATATCCTCGACATGGACCTATTTGGCAGTGTATTTTAAATTATTTGATAAAGGAAGCGTGGCGAAGATAAGGCTGTGCGCAGTGCAGCATCAACGGGTTCGCAGTGCGTCGGACAGAGCGGCGCCGGGCACTTGGCACAGCTCTCGGTCAACGTCCTCTGTCTCCATAAAAGCCTCCACAAGCTTGAGCCAAAACAATTTCACCAAATTTCTTGCCAGTGCCCTAACACGCATGATTTTACGATCCTTCCGCTCCACTCTTCAGTCGATGGGAACTCGTTTATTTTGGCCGAATGGCTCGTGATATTTTTATTGAAATTCAAGATGCTATGGTATTTACATGTTGCATTATCAGATCAAATATCAGTATACCACATCTCAGTGTGTGTTATACCCTGGCGAATAGTTGTCTCAGTTAGCGATTAGTATGAATTACAGAAAAAAATGTTTTAGATTTCATTGCAAGCATAAAAATCAATTGCCTATAATCACTATAATTAATAATAGGTTTACTGTAACATATAATTTTAATATACATTAATACACTATTTATAATTAATAGGGGTTGTCATGTAGTTTTCGTAAATATTAAATCTGAAACATTGTTCAAGCTGTTAAGCTGATTAATTTTAAGTTTATAAACACGGGCGAGCATCGTCGTACTCGTACCTCTTCTTTTCTAAAAATAATGATTAAACTAAAAAAAAATGTAGTCCAGTTTATGACCTAGCAATATCAATTAAGAGTTAAACGCATAAATTTCAATTAGCAAACGTTTTAAAGCTCTGCATTAATCATCAATCACATCACATCACATCAACAGCCTTTCACAGTCCACTGCTGGACATAGGCCTCCTTTTTTGGAAGGCCAAGTTTTCCTTCTTTTTGCAGTGCTGGTGTAAGGCGTTGTTTTGCGGCCTTAGTCGGGTCTTACGACACCCAAGGGATGAATTGGGGTAGTGACATTCCGTATTCTTAATCCGTCACTACACGGACAATTGGATTAATATGTACACTTAACCAAAAAAAGTAATCGCAATCATCACATATTATGAACAACTTAGGTATCAGGTCCTTAGTGTGTAAGGTCAGTTTAAGACGCAGAAAGGTTTAAGGTTTATACAGATCTATAAACCTTCCTAGATCTTTATCAAAATAGAAGACTTTAAGTTCCTGTTAAAATAAAATTACAAATAAGATGAAATAAAAAAGTCAAAGAAAATTAATTAATTATAAAGCGACGAAATTCATCACATAGTAATAAAGGTACAAAAATAAAATAAAATTACAAATCAGTTAGTAACACCGTGTAACATGGTCTCTCCATATTACTATCATTAGATTGTTACATTACCTCAGCCTATGCTTGTCCACTGCTGGACATAGGCCTCTCACAATGATTTCCAGCGGGGACGGTTGCAACCTTTACCCGGTCGTCCGTCCATCGGGTAAGCGGTCGTCCCACGCTGCGCTTTCCAGTACGTGGTCTCCATTGGAGAACCTTGCTGCTCCATCGGCCGTCAGTTCTCCTTGCTATGTGCCCTGCCCATTGCAACTTGAGCGCGCTAATCCGTTGGGCTATGTCGACCACCTTTGTTCTCTTGCGGATTCGATCACGCAGGGAAACGCAAAGCATAGCCCTTTCCATAGCACGCTGAGCGACTCTGAGCTTTCTGATTAGGCCTATAGTAAGAGACCACGTCTCAGTTCCCTAGGTCATCAGTGGTAACACACACTGGTTGAAGCATTTCGTCTTTAGGCACTGAGGTATTTTGGACTTGAAGACGTTTCGTAATTTCCCGAACGCTGCCCAGCCGAGTCGGATTCGACGATTGACCTCTTTCTCGAAGTTGGACTTACCTAATTGGACCGTTTGTCCTAGGTAGACATATTCGTCAACAACTTCGAGGACAGAGTTTCCCACGACTATGGGAGTCGGCACGACATGGACATTCGACATGATTTTCGTCTTGTCCATGTTCATCTTAAGGCCGATCTGTTAAGAAACTTCGTCGAGGTCAGCGAGCATTTGTCCCAGGTCTTCCAGCGATTCTGAAGGTGAGTGATGTTTTCGCGATTGATGTTGATGCCAAGTTCTTTCCATTCCAGGAGCTTGAAGGCATCTTCCAGAGCAGCGGTAAACAGTTTCGGAGAAATAACGTCTCCCTGTCTTACCCCTCTCTGTAATGGAATTGCCTTCGTGTATTGGTCCTGTACTCGAACTGACATATTGGCATTATTATACAAACACTTCAATACTTCGATGTACCGATAGTCAATACGGCTCCGCTGGAGAGACCTAAAGACTGCCCAAGTTTCGATCGAATCGAAGGCTTTCTCATAGTCCACAAACGCCAAGCATAGTGGCCGATTATACTCCTCGGTCTTCTGTATAATCTGCCGCAGCATATGTACTCGTATGTGGTCTATGGTACTAAAGCCTTTTCGGAAACCGGCTTGTTCGGGAGGCTGGAAGTCATCAAACCGACGTTGGAGACGATTCGTGATGACTCTTGAAAACAGCTTGTAGACATGGCTCAGCAGTGTGATGGGCCTGTAGTTCTTCAATAAGGTATTATCGCCCTTCTTGAAGAAAAGTACCACCACACCCCTGTTCCATGACTCTGGCGTGTGTCCCTCGAGCAAGACGGAATTGAAGAGCTTCTGGAGGACCTTGAGTACCGGTTTGCCACCCGCTCTCAGAAGCTCAGATGTGATTCCGTCATCGCCCGGTGCCTTGTTATTCTTAAGCTGTTTGAGAGCCATCCCAATCTCGTACTGGCTGATGTCCGGGATATCTTCGGTATAATGTCGGGTTAGCCTTGCTCTAGGGTCTTTAGCTGGGCTACTAGCAGGCTTTGCGGCATTAGATTATTGAAGGGTATAAATATTTCTTTGTTTGCTTTTATGGTATAAGAGGGCAAACGAGCAGACGGTCACCTGATGGCAAGGAACCACCGCCGCCCATGGACACCCGCAACTCAAAAGTCACAAGTGCGTTGCCGCCCTTGGAGTCCCTCCCGCTCGAGTCAGCGGGAGGGTGGATTTGGGCGCCGGTAACCTCACTCACTCAGTGAAAGGCAACGAAAGAATTGCTTAACACCGGTTTTCTGTGAGGTCGTGGTATCAATGGAAGAAAGCATGGCTCTCCCACTTTGTCCACTTTTTTGTTAGATGAGATCTGAATCTTCTAAAATTTAACTTTAGATACGAATCGTATAACTGAACCAATAAATTACAATGCCTATTTAAGAACTAACAAAAAATATGAAATCTACAAAGTTTATCGATGTCCGATGTGTGTGTAGAATGTAGAAGTATCCGTTTTTGGATTGGTTTTGGGATCTCAATAATTTGAGGTCAAATTCTTGTAACTGTCTAATGCCCTTGGCAACTTGTGCGCTATTGTACCTACACAGCCTTCTGTGCGGTGATAAACATGCCATAACCTCCTTGTGAGGACAATTCTCAATAATGTGTGAGAATATACACGTTACAAAAATAATAAAATGTTTTCATTTATATATTTGCATATTTTTTGCAGGTTCGAATGGTCAAAATTGTTTAAATGCTATGCTTTAATAAAATATGACATCTATCATACTTACGTACTAAGCCAGCACTAAGTTTCATAGTCTTTTTAATACAATAAATTTGACAATATAAAAATTGAACATTTTAAATATTCCAAGTCTAGTCAGTTCACCTAAACATGCCCTTTAGTGGCTGCTGCATAATACTAAATACTTACAATAGTAAAATATTGCAAAATATCGCTAGAAAACCTTAAACAACAATACATTATTTTAAAATTATTTAGTCCGCAATTTTGAAAAAAAAAAGGACAAAATATCATGAATAAGTACTAAATAAATAAAAAACAAAGTGTAACCGTTTTTCCCAATGTGCACTATAGTGTGGTCAATCACATTTGCTTTCTGTAGACATTACTGATCAGTTGAATCAACACTAGGTATATAAGTAATATTGTTCAAGTTCAAAAGTAACTTAACTACTAATTAATACTGCTATTAATTAATTAGTAGCAGAAGTAAAATAATATTATTCGTATGTGGGTTTCTAAAAAATTTACTTCCAGAAACAGAATTGAAATATGCAGGCTCATTGCGATTACATAGGATAACTGGGGCATAAATTGTAATCTTTATAATATTAAAAATGTCCTCATTTCTTTTAAGTGTATGTAATGCAGATGAATGGTGTTAATAATAAACATACAAGTACATCTCGCAATATAAATTTATTATCACATTTCATAAATAGTTATCTTAATTTAAAATAATGTAACTAAGTTATTAAATCTAAAATATAAATTACATTTAACTAAGCAGACAAAGCATTCTTGGAAGTGACTTTTGGACTTCAGAAATATCTAAAAAAATTACACAATTACAAATGGAGGTATCAAGGTTGATCTGCGTGTCATAATGCTTCAATGATAATTTTGCTAAGTTAAATTGAAATGTCATATTCGTGAACCATATTAAATCGTGACCCAAATAAAGATGGTCGTTAAATAAATTGCAGTCAGTCGGAAGATGAATAAGGTGAACAAGGAAATCGTCTACTTATTTCAATACTGATTGAAAGAATTGTGGGGTACAAAATATTTGAAAGATTAGTTGACTTTTTCGAAAATCCATTTGCCGGAGTAAGGAGTTTCTAGCCTCTTGACTGATGGACGGAATCCCTTTTCGTCAGCGGTATAGTCTACTCTGTACATGAAACCATCTGGGCCGATGTATTCATAGAATCCCTTAGATGCGATTCCCTCATCGACAGTGTTTGGGTTCTTAAGGACAGCTGTCTCTTCAGCACGAATTTTGTTCTCGGTCTCAAAACTGCGAAAGAGAAAAAAAGTAAATTCTAGATTTTCTTTAACATTTTCCTGACGTACATTTTAATACAATCAATTTATATACAAATAATTACATAAAAAAATCCTGACTTATTTTTGACTACCATTTTTAGTGTTACATGCATGTTAACAATATTTTAATATTGATAAGCAAAATTCTGATTATTTATATCGTACCAAGCCAATGTCTTTTTAGTTGTTTCTAAATTATTATAAATAGTAATGAACTATGACCTGTGCATACCACTGACTAACTTACGGCAGTCAAGGTGTTGGTCCACAGTGGTGAATTAGTCGGTTCTATTCTAATTGTGATAGCAAGGACTATAGTAATGCTTTGAAAAGGTATAATACTTTAGTAATTTTGGGCCTTGTTCGAAGTCACGACACAAACTTCGGAATTACTGGATGGGTTTTATATATTTTAGCTTCATTCACTAGTAAATAATTTCTAACTAAAACTGTCATTTCTACTTAAAAACCTATTATACTTCATATTAGTTGCTTCTCGCAAGATTAATATATATGAATAATAGTAAAATGTCGTCATCATACTTGCAACCTATTCAAAGGAATTTTGTAAAGAATTCCATATGTAAATAATAACGATAAGATTGACATTCAGCAACGCAAGGCTGAATTTTATTTAGAAGGCGGAGAGCTAATAAATATATAATATCTAGATGTTACGCGCCTGGTATATTAATGCTTCATTAACATAGATGGCGCTTCTAATAAGTTGTAAATCACATAATATTAATGACAATGATACGCTAGCATTAATGACAATACAAAGTTCTTCTAGGTATATGTATTATATTTGACCATCATTAACGTAATGGTTATTTATCTATTTAATATATATGACCTAGAAAATATATTTTAGTCTTCTGAATTTGAACTTTTAGCAAGTTGCGAGTTTAATATTAGCTCAAAGTTTTTCATTCAGGCATTAGTACTAAAGGGTTTTAATTTAAGTCGTTCAGTGCTATAGTCAAGTATCCAATAGTCACTTTCGTATTTTCGGTAAATAATCATTTTATTTGGAATACACGACATTTTTACGTAATGATTACTCTACTTTATGAGTTCAAATGATTATTAAATTATATTATATTACTATAAGTAACATAAAAATATTATCTAGTATTTCTAAATTTAAAAAATACTTACTCGAAATCATATTTGTCCTCTTTGTAGTTATGGTTCTGCTTGATGATCTTAATGCCATTGTTTTTGTAGTATCCGTCCTTGTAGTACGGGATGTCTTTAGGAGGGATTTGAATCAATCTGAAGTGGTCCACTGATGCTTCTGGCACGTAAGGTTCATAGTCATGTGAATAAGGTCCATACCCGCCATCGTATGGATTGTCTATATGAATGTATGGGTTCGGAACATGGATATATTTTCCCTCGTCTGTAGGAATATATCTGAAAACAAAATATCATTGATTATTTTTAATTATTATTAATAATTAAAATTGTATTTATTAAAATTAAAATTATAAAATTATATTGTTTAATTATAATGAATATTTAGTATGTCGTTGCAGTTTTATGCTGTTGCAGCCAGCTCAAGTTATTAGATCAGCTTTCATTATTACAAAGATTTCAATGTATAACTTGCAATGTTTTAAAGTTATTTAATACAGAGAAGCCAGTGATTTTTATTTAAAAAATATTTGAGAAATACAAAACATGATTTTTCATCCTCTATAAACGATCATCAAAAATGATTACAACTATTTTTATTTGTGGATATATACTTTTCGACTGTGTCATTATCGGTGTCAGCTGGTAAACAAATTGAAATAATTGTATCATTTACTTACTTTCCAGAATTTCCGTATTGATACGGGTTCCAGGAGCCATCTTCTAGTGGTGAACTTAGTACTGCTACAATGCAGATACAGATAACCAGCAAGAACTGAAAAAAGTAAAATAAATTTTCACAATGTTAAATATTCCTCTTACCATATAAATACTCACTTTTATAGAATTTAATAGAAATTTTATACTGTATATAAAATATCACGATTGACCAAAATAAAAAATACCTCTAAAGAAAACATCCTGTATCACTTCACGAAATTTTTTGTTTAATATTTCCACCACTTGTGCACTGCAACTGAACGCGATATCACAACGCGGAAATTTAATTCACGGTCACACTTCTGTCCGTGTGTACACTCCTTAGAGAATTTCAAATCGTTGTGTTGATTTCGAAATCGACGCTTCGCTTTTATACATTTGCAACATCAACTCATCTCTTCTGCAGGGGCACAAACACATAAGCACGCGAGTGCGTCACACGTAACCGTCACACATAGACTTAAAACGTTTTTTATCGCCTCTGCACGCAATTGTTGATGAGAGTTACTTTATTCGGGTGACGCTATCATATAGAAAATTATCTGCGGTCCCAATTTCTCTAAAAGCACTTAAATCGAATGTCAGTCGAAAAATTGCCTCTAAATATATTTATGAAGCAGTTTTCTTTTTAAGTGCACGATGAAAAAAATTAAAAAATTGTGATTCACATCTAATGTAACGTTTTTTCGTTGCCCTCGCGCATTTCTACTTTATCTGTAATCAGTAATTAATGAAGGTTTTATTTTATACTTGATATTTATACGAGTAGTTTTTATTGCAAGTAAAAAATATGAGCGTATATTTGTTAGCGACATTAATTTACTTATTTTACTTAACAGTGTTAGTTTATAAGATCACAGTCATTTAAGTTATATAAAATGATATGATATTGCATTTAAGTTTACATTAATATTGCGTTTACGAGGAGTGGGACTATTTTTATGTATAATTTTAACATTATGCAGTCCTATTAATGAGAGACTCTTGACTCGCAGAAGGTAAGTTGGTTGTGCTTTTGACATAGATATATATTTTATTGTACGTTTATGAATACCGATGTAAAGCATGTAATCGCCAACAAGATTGATTATTACATGCAAGGAATATAACTAAAAGATAAATTGTTTAAATTATGTAATTTAATCTGTATTTTCATCTCGAAGATTGATGTTTTACCGTAGGATAGTTTTAATTGTTATAAGTGTTGTTCAATCAATTTATTTTTATTCAATTAGAAAAAAATCCTTATTTAATTTAAATGAAAGATGTCGTGCAATTAAACTTTTTCAAGATTTGAAGTATTTCAAGATTGCTGTAGTTTTTGATCAAAATATAAACTGATTTAATATATAAAGTTAAATAGAAGTATCAATAAATTCCTGATAATCTGTTAACAATGTTACAACATTGTAACTTTGTAATTTTTTACAGCGCCTCGTGTAATCATTTCACAGGTATTTTTAATAGTCTTCATATTTTACCAGAGGCTTTTTATTAATCTTTCTAAAATATTGACAATGTATCTTGTTTTTTTTTAAATTAATATATCACAATTGATCACGGTGTATTCCGGACACTACCCATCCTTAAGTTTTTTAATTATTATTTTTTTGACAACATTTAATTCGGGTACGGGACCCCGGTCTCTTTGAGCTACTGCAGTGTCAGTCCCGTTCCCTATCCGAGACTTGTGCCTATCCCTTACCCTAGCTCCCTCACCCTATCCGCTATTCTCATCCCAAGTTACCCTCTTTCTCTGTACCGTGTGAAATGATTACATTCCCAAAAAGGGTTATTTTTATTAGGAATTAAAAAAAACAAGCCAAAGAGCCCTTTGCACTGTTACACATTGTGTCAACCGCCATAAAATTTGGAAAAGGGCGAAGAAGAGAATTATGTTGGTTTTAATTTATCTATGGATGTAAGCAACATTTTGTATACCTGTAGTCAAAATCGTTTTTTTTTTTGTGTTATAGCTTGGAATACGAGTTACATTGTAATGATATCAAAGTGGACCGTAATGTTCTTACAAAACGTTAACCAACATCTTTCGACAATATCTACAAACTCCTAAGTAATATACATGTCTTGAAACGATGTTTGATTAATTCCAAAGAATTTGAATAGAATAGAATTATTTGGACCAAATGTAAATATCACTTTGTCTGCATTCCTGTGCTTATAAAATTTCACATTATATTTTAGTGTCACTATTTGCATATTACAACCACGAATGTAAATTCGGATTTACCCATAGCTACATTTCCTATAAGTAAAAGTTAAGTATCGGTAGAATATTAAAATAAGTGTATTTCTAGTCTATGATATATGATAATCATTAACAAAACAAGTTGAGTGATGTCATGTGTCATTCCCTTCTTTAATTTTTCTTCTTTTAACACTCTTCATTAGCTTCTAATAACACATTGTTGTCCCAAAGAAAAAACAAGTTTGGACATAGAAAAATAAAATAGTTATATTTATTTAGCAGGGTGAATTTGATAATTATATTGATTTGAGATAGAGCACAATAACTTCTTTTTTTTAATTTGGACTTTTTAGTTTTAACAGGCTTGGCTCTAAAAAAGGAAGCTTACACTTATTTCTTTATATTTTAATTGTTGGGTCACAGATTACTGTAAATACTGTAAATAATATAATATAATCTAATATCTTCCCTGAGAGTTTCATGGCTTGAGCTAGGAAAACAACTGTAAAAACATGAGTAAAAGAAAACTTAAAAAAACAAATAAAATAACATCAAATAATATAATGGTGATTGAATTGTCATACACCAAAACGGGTTTAACTCGTACTAAAACTTTTTATCCATCCCCAATGTAATGTAATGTCCATCCCCAGGCCAGAAGGTTAAGTTCGTTGCCCAGTCGTATTTGCACTAGTAGTAGACTCAACTTAACTATTGTTGAATAACACACTATATGCAAATAAGAGAATAAATGGACAAGGTTTTTGAGCTGCACTAAAAATGGCACAATAAATAAATAAACAGTTAAATGACATATCTCACACACGGCCGTGTGATTTCAAAATAGACAGAAACTGAATGTTCGCAATCATACTACTGACTAATCTATTACATAATTAATTATAGAAAACATGCTTTTTGCAAAAAAACATGTTTTTGTAAAAAAGAAGCGTGGGGTGCTAGATCTCAATTGTTGTAAAAGTATTTTAATGATGTTAAAAATAAAGTTATTATATTATTACATACCTACCTTGAAAAGCACCCCACGCTTTTTTTACGATGAAATGATTTTCCTTTTAAAGTTATAGAAAATTATGTTCTACTTTTAGTTCAGCTAGCTACAAAAGCGTGTTTTTAGTAATTAATGATTATTATTGTCTTATTAAGACTAAAAAAGTAACAAGTAAGTTTATCACATATGCTTCATCACAAGCCTTAGTATGTGGCAAATGACACTACCGTATTTTTGGGTATGGAAAAAGCCGAAGGTTCTGATCAGCATAATAGGACCCATTATTTCAATTATCGCATTGTCATCAGTCCTTGATAGGTGTGCAAAGTCTCAATTTGATTTGAAGCCATAAAGTGGGTCAAAATCACCTCCAAAGATTCCGTTACATACATAAATACAAACACACCAAGCTAATAAAAGCGTGTTAAAAATAACTTGCCGTTCGTTAGTCTCACTGATACTCGAAAACTACTTGACCGATTTGGCTAATCTCTATGTGGAAGTTCAGGGACAGGTGAGACGGTGAGAACAAAGGAAAAATTGCGAGCAAAATAGTAAAATAACAACACGGGCACTACCTGCCTATTTTTGAAACCTCATAACTTGGGTTCGGATTATACCAGATTAACATAATTCTCGGCATATAATATCAAAAGTAGTCTCATTAATCAGATAAGTTTCAATTGCATAGCTTCTTATACTTTAGATTTTATTGATATCTAGAAAACCGAGGTTTCATCACTGACTCAATCATGATCAGCAAAATTCTTATGGTACTTCCTGAAGTTACATAAAGATATTAGATCTAGTGTAGGGCCAAGCTTTTAACTCTACACGCCCTTACTCTGCAACTCCAAACCTTAGTCTAATTATGTGGCTTCGCGAGCGTGACTTGCTTGCAGCAAGCGGCAGGGTTCGCGCGCGGGACACGCTCTTGCTCCGTACCGTGGCCGCAAACATGGCACCAAGCGAGAGGGTATCCACTCCGATGTCCGTAACGAGGCAACCTCGTGACATTGTCTTCCGGTGATCACCTCCGTCGACTGGTACGAGAGGGTCTCGTGTTGCCTCTTGAGTACATTGATAACGGGCCTTACCACCGCAAATTGTCCAAGTCGTTCCTTCTATGTCTACACTAGGACCTGGCGTGGTTGGGACTTCTGATTTTCGATATCTCGAGTCTTAGGACTCTGATCCAACTCCCGCCCCTCCTTAAGCCACTGGTACAGAGCCGCAAGAAGCTCCAGGTCCCATGGTTAAGTTACGCAAAGGAGACTCGCCTCCTCAAAGAAGCTCGTGCGGTACTCTGTTATGGCCCTAATCGCCAGTACTCGATGCGATCGTCGCAATAAAATAAAATCAAATTTATCCATGAAATAATTACCATATCTTAATTCTCTCAAAATAATTATATCAGAATAATTTAGAAAACTAGAAAGTGTCAAATACATATTTTCTGAAAAAATATGGTCATATAAATTTTTTTTGGTCAATCATTGCTAAAATTAGGATACATGTGAAAATTTCGCATAATTGTCTTGTAACATTCAATTTCTCAGGTCCATTATCACCTTTTGTGTGAGTTGTACTGTATTATTTTATTTTATTATTAGAAAGCACAACAGCTAACTCCTTTCTCTACACCTCTTGCTAATAGAAATGTGCTACACGCCATAAATTCGAATAGAATTTACAAACTCTAAGGATTTCTACTTAAACAGTTATATGGTCTTACTAAGTTTGTATTGGATCATACATACAGAAGTAAGTAATACATTTGAGAGCTGAAGAAGACAAAACTTACATCTTACAGAAACCTAAAAACAGCTAAACAAATGATATGTTGCACAGTAATCACCATTTTTGTCGAAGTATAGTACTCCTTAGATACTATTAACGGGAACATATAATTGAAATTTATGGTGTTATGAAGTGCTTAAGTCGGTCGCATATTGGATTGCTATTTTAATGTTATTTAA